GTCTCTCTCTCTCCTAGAAATAAATAAAAAAACATTAAAAAAAAAAAAAAAGAACTTGGCAGAAGACATAGACACCTTCCAAAGGAGACATCCAGATGGCTAACAGACATGAAATAATGTTCAACATCACTCATCATCAAGGAAATACAAATCAAAACCACAGTGAGATAATAGCTCACACCAGTCAGAATGGCTAAAATTAACAACACAAGAAAAAACAGATTTTGGTGAGGATGCAGAGAAAGGGAAACCCTCTTGCACTGCTGGTGGGAATGCAAACTTGTACAGCCACTGTGAAAAACAGTATGGAGGTTCTTCAAGAAACTAAAAATAAAACTACCCTATGATCCAGCAATTGCACTATTAGGTATTCACCCAAAGGATACAAAAATACAGATTTGAAGGTGTACAGTGCACCCCAATGTTTATAGCAGCATTATCTACAATAACCAAAGTATGGGGAGAGCCCAGGTGTCCATCATGCGATGAATGGATAAAGAAGATGTGGTGTAATATCATGGAATATTATTCAGCCACCAAAAAGAATGAAATCTTGCCATTTGCAATGATGTGGATGGAACTAGAATGTATTATGCTAAGCAAAACAAGTCAATCAGAGAAAGACAAACACCATATGATTTCCCTCATATGTGGAATTTAATAAACAAAACATGAACATATGGGAAGGTGGAGGGGAGAGAAGAGAGGAAAACAAACCACCAGAGACTCTTAAATACAGAGAACAAACGGAGGGTTGATGGACGGAGGAGGGTGGAGAATAGTCTGGGTGGGTGATGGGCATTAAGGACGGCACTTGTGAAGAGCACTCGGTGTTGTATGTAAGTGATGAATCACTGAATTCTACTCCTGAAAACACTGCACTGTAAACGAACAAAAATTTAAATTTAAAGTCATAATCAAAATTCAAAAAAAATCAAGTCAGTTTTATTTATTGAAGTTCAGCAACAGGCAAAACAAACAATATGATCTGCATATATACACATGTGCTATAATTATGCAGACATGAAGGCCGTGTCGTGGGCTACCTCTGTGCACAAGGAAAGGCGTGCAATCCCCAGAGTGGCACGGAGGTGGGAGCTCCAGGAAGTTGCAAGGTAGTGGTAATGTGCACGTTTCTCGGTCTAGGTCACTACATATACATTAGCTTCATTATAATTAATTGCAATGTGTTTATATGCTCTATATGTTTTTTGTGTGTTAATTTCAAAATTAGAATTTAAGAATAATATATTAGTAAGGGTGCCTGGTGGGCAACTCTTGGTTTTGTTCCAGGTCATGATCTCATGGCTCATAGGATTGAACCCTACTTTGGGCTCCAGGCTGACAGCGTGAAACCTGCTTGGGATTCTCTCTCTCTGCCCCTCCCCGACTCATGCACAAATTCTCTCTCTCTCTCTCTCTCTCTCTCAAAATAAATAAACTTTACAAACATAATAATATATTAATAAAAACAGGGAGCTACAACCCCAGAAGCAATATATAACTAAAGCTAGAAGATATCCAATTATGAAGATCAAGAGTAAAAAAGTCAAGTCAGTTTTTTTAGTTTTTTTCTCTATTGGATACTTCCACATACTTACATGCTTCATATAAAGGATTCTGCTTCAAGTTGTTTTTTTTTTTTTTCTTTTGCCCAAACTCTTGCTATTATATGGACAAAAGCCTAAGCACTGAAAAGGCAAAAGTTGACAAATTTCTCAACTTTCATGCCTTAATAGCTAAATAAACATTTCCTCCTTCCTGAAATAATCCAATTTCATTTTTGTTTTACAAAAGAAGAGGGGCCCCTGGGTGGCTCAGTTGGTTGGGTGTCTAACTTCATTTAGGCTGTGATCTTATGGTCCATGGGTTTGAGCCCTGCATCAAGCTCTGTACTGACAGCACCAAGCCTGCTTGGGATTCTCCCTCTCTGTCTCTGTCTCTTTCTCTCTCTCTCTGCCCCTCCCTCATTCATGTGCTTGCTCTCGCTCGCTCTCTCTCTCTCAAAATAAATAAACTTAAAAAATAACAGCAGTAGAGTATTTTAAAAGAAGAAAGAAAAAAATAAAAGAAAACCCAGCATTTGAAGGAAGATTATTATAGAACAGTCAAAGTCTTGGGAATTTCTTTTTATCAAAATAAGTTTTATGTAATTGTTTTTCATCAAATTACTTCTATTTCCTAATCTATTATAAGTCTAAAGACTGTTTCTGGTGACAAAAGAAGGAAGTCTCTTCCCCAATGTTGGGTGTTTTGACACAAGAATTTAATATTTGATTCTTCTCTGTCAGTATACATAACTGAATTATTTTTGTGTCATGGTATAATTATTTCAGATGTACAAGAAACCATTTCCAAAAATCCATCCATCAGAAATACCCTACGAATAATACAACTTCTGGTAAGTACTTTAAGAAGCTTTTTTTTTTTTTTCTCATTTTGGGAAATGTCATGATTTTTTGTGTAAGAATCCTGTATTGAAATTAATTTTTCTTGATATTGGCTTTTAGGGAGTTTCCCCCCCAATCACCTTTCAATTATGAGATGTTTTGTTAGAATCAGCAAATATCTTCTCATTTAAAAAAAAAAAATCAAAATTGGGGCACCTGGGTGGCTCAGTCAGTTAAGCGTCTGACTTTGGCTCAGGTCATGATCTCACAGTTCGTGGGTTCGAGCCCCATGTCGGGCTCTGTGCTGACAGCTAGCTCAGAGCCTGGACCCTGTTTTGGATTCTATGTCTCCCTCTCTCTCGGACTCTCCCCTGCTCATGATCTGGCTCTCTCTCTGTCTCTCAAAAATAAATAAATGTTAAAAAAAAAATTTTTTTAAGTTTCCCAGACAAAAACTAAAGGAGTTCGTGGCCACTAAAACAGCCCTGCTAGCAATTTTAAGGGAGACTCTCTGAGGAGAGAAAAGATGAAAACAAAAACAAACAAACAAACAAAAAAGACAAAAGCTACAAAGACTAGAAAGGACCAGAGACCACCACCAGAAACTCTACATGCAACATAATGGCAATAAATTTATACCTTTTAGTACTCACTCTAAACATCAATGGACTAAACGCTCCAATCAAAAGACATAGGGTAACAGAATGCATAAGAAAACAAGATCCATCTATGTGCTATTTACAAGAGACCTATTTTAGACCTAACGACACCTTCAGATTGAAAGAAAGGGGATGGAGAACCATCTATTATGCTAATGGTTCCCAAAAGAAAGCTGGAGTAGCCATACTTATATCAGACATTCTAGATTTTAAAATAAAGACTGTAATAAGAAATGAAGAAGGGCTTTATATCATAATTAAGAGGTCTATCCACCAAAAATATCTAGCAATTATAAACATTTATACTCCAAATGTGAGAGCACCCAAATATATAAATCAATCACAAACATAAAAAAAACTCATTGATAAATACCATGATAGTAGGAGACTTCAACACCTCACTTACACCAGTGGACAGATCATCTAAGGAGAAAATCAACAAGGAAACAATGGCTTTGAATGCCACACTGGACTGGATGGACTTAATGGATATATACAGAACATTTCATCCTAAAACAGCAGAATACACATTCTTCTGTGTATATACAAAATACATATGGAACGTTCTCAGGAATAAATCATATACTGGGACACAAATCAGCCCTCAACAAGTACAGAAAGATGAAGATCATACCGTGCATATTTTCAGACTACAACACGATGAAACTTGAAATCAATCACAAGAAAAAATGTGGAAAGATAACAAATACTTGGAGACTAAATAACATCCTACTAAAGAATGAACGGGCTAACCAAGAAGTTAAAGAGGAAATTAAGAAGTACATGGAAGCCAATGAAAATGATAGCATCACAGCCCAAAACCTCTGGGACGCAGCAAAGGCGGTCATAAGAGGGACGTGTACAGCAGCCCAGGCCTTCCTGAAGAAGGAAGAAAGGTCTCAGATAAACAACCTAACCTCACTCCTCAACGAGCTGGAAGAAGAACAGCAAATAAAACCCTAAACCAGTAGAAGACAGGATATAATAAAGATTAGAGCAGGTATCAATGCTATCAAACCCAAAACAACAACAACAGAGAACAGATCAATGAAACTAGGAGGTGGTTCTTTTAAAGAATTAACAAAATTGATAAAAACCTAACCATTTTGATCAAAAAGAAAAAGGAAAGGACTCAAATAAAATCACAAATGAAAGAGGAGAGATCACAACCAACACAGCAGAAATACAAACATTAGTAAGAGAGCATTATGAGCAATTATACACCAACAAAATGCACAATCTGGAAGAAATGGACAAATTCCTAGAAACATGTAAACTACCAAAACTGAAACAGGAAGAAATAGAAAATTTGAACAGACTCATAACCAGCAAAGAAATTAGTAATCAAAAATCTCCCAAAAAACAAAAGTCAAGGGCTGGATGGCTTTCCAGGGGAATTCTACCAAACATTTAAGGAAGAGAAAACACCTATTCTTTTGAAGCTGTTCCAAAAAATAGAAATGGAAGGTAAACTTCCAACCTCATTCTGCGAGGCTAGCATTTCATTAGCATGATTCCTAAACCAGACAAAGACCCCAGTAAAAAGGAGAACTACAGACCCATTTCCCTGATGAACATGGATGCAAAAGTCCTCAACAAGATACTAGCCAGGGGTCCAACAATACATTAAAAGAATTATTCCCACAACCAAGTGGGATTTATACCTAGGATGCAGGGCTGGTTCAATATCCGCAAAACAATCAATGTGATTCATCACATCAATAAAAGAAAGGACCAGAACCATATGATCCTCTCAGTAGACTCAGAGAAAGCATTTGACAAAATACAGCATCCTTTCTCGATAAAAACTCTCAAGAAAGTAGGGATAGAAGGATGATACCTCAAGATCATAAAGGCCGTATATGAAAGACCCACCGCCAATATCATCCTCAATGGGGAAAAACTGAGAGCTTTCCCCCTAAGGTCAAAACGTAAAAGACTCTTAAATATAGAGAACAGAGGGTTGCTGGAGGGGGTGTGGGAGGGGGGATGGGCGAAATGGATGAGGGGATTTAAGGAATCTGCTCCTGAAATCATTGTTGCACGGTATGCTAACTTGGATGTAAATTAAAAAATAAAAAAAATTAATGACAAAGTATACGAAAAAACAAAATTAAAGATTTTAAACTTGGTTTCTATAAATAAACACATTAAGTAAACATTAAATTTATTCTATAAAGAAAAACCATTTTTTAAAAAATGTGTCGTGTGCCACCTGGAGAGATGTGCTCTGTCCAGGGCATCTTCCATACCATCAGCCCCAGAGTAATCTTCGTAAAACATGAATATGAGCAGATCACTCTTGTGCTTAAAACCCAGTGTCGGCACTCACCTGTCACCGGAAAGATGAATTAAAACTCCCAAGAACTGCCTTCAGGACCGTCCCATCTGCACCTCTGGCTGCTCCCCAGCTCGTAATGTACATACAGTCGGGCCAACAGGTAGTTCTCGCTGGAGCTCCCTGTCCTTCCCGGGCCCACACTGCCCCCCCCGCTCCTGTCCACCCCCCCACCCCCCCCACTGCCCCCCCGTCCCCCCCCTACAAACACACCCACTTCACAGGACTCCTCCTCTTGCACGCCTGTCTCCTCCTCACTCCTTCAGGCTTCATCTCACCGCCATGCCCGCTGGGAAGGCTGGCTCAGCCCGAGTTTCATCCTGTCCACGATTTAGCGTGTCCGCTTTTTGGCAACCGTGCAGCCTCCTTTTTTTCTTTTCGTAGAAGTTATCATACTGGTCTCTTTTTCTTTCTTTCTTTCTTTTTAATGTTTATTTTTAGTTTTGAGACAGAGCACGAGCAGGGGAGGGGCAGAGAGAGAGGGAGACACAGAATCCGAAGCAGCTCCAGGCTCTGAGCTGTCAGCACAGAGCCCGACGCGGGGCTCGAACCCACGAACCGCGAGGTCATGACCTGAGCCGAAGCCGGCGCTTAACTGACTGAGCCCCCCAGGCGCGCCCTCTTTCTTGATTGGACAGACCCTGCCCGAGTGCTCACTGCGTGCCAGGCCCTGTGTGCGGCTGGGACGAGACCCGGTGAAGCCCTCCCCTCCGAGCCGCGTGCTCCAGCGCGCCCGGGACACTCCGGCCATGGCTCCTCAGTGTGAAAACTATGAACCTTGGAAGCAGAACTTTTACTTTGGACTATTTACTTTTTCAAAATAAATTTTATGAATTTATGAATTTAGTGAATTTTTATTGCCTTCTCCAGCAACTTGCTTAACCCAACACATGTTGTTAAACTCCACTTGGGGTTACGGAAGCTGCTGGGGCTTCGCTTTGTTAATAAATCACTAAATTGTGACCATTTACACAGCAGTTATGCTAAAAGGCACCTGCTATAGCAAAGAGCGAAGATCATGAATTATTATAAGCGGTATGATGCTTTATGTGAAGTGGCACTCATTATGTTGAGGTTGATGTATATGTAGCATTTGAGAATTTAAATTATGAATTTAGTGTCATTAAAATCCATCATCTGTAAGGAGATCCACCGGGTAAAGCCCGTGATACCATAGTAAAACAGCGTTCTGAAATTATGTTACAGGACAGCCAGCCAAGGACCAGTCTCTCTCCTGATGTTGGACCCAGATCGCAGAGAAAATACTGATGAGGAATAACAGTAACTATTAAATGGATCATTTTTTATAGACTCCTGTAAATATATCACACATTTCTGCATTTGTTAATAATTTAAAATACTATAAACATAAAGAGAAATCATAACATGGGTAATGGAGATAAATGGACTAGTTTATTTACATTTATGCTACAAGTTTAATATGTATTTTATTGATAAATACATTTTTAGTGAATGGAAATGCTTCATTGTTTTTAACGGGCATGCTTCTGAAAATAAATTCATTATATTTAAAAATAAAACAGGATATTTTGTTATTCAAATTGTGTATTAGCAATAGTTGTGAAGGTTTATTTTTCTAAAATTCCTAATAAACTCTATTAAATTTTGGTACAGAGGTGTCAAACGTTTATGGGTTTTTTTTTTAAGTTCATTTATTTATTTAGAGAGAGTGGGAGAAGGGCAAAGAGAGAGGGAGAGAGAGAATCCCAAGCAGGTTCCTAGCTGTCAGCACAGAGCCGACGACGCGGGGCTTCAACCCAGGAACTGTGGGATCATGACCTGAGCTGAAATCGGGTCAGACGCCTAACGCAGCCACCCCGGCGCCCGCATAAAGCCTAGGACCCGTCGGTACCGTCCCGCAGAAACAGCAAAGCTCCTTGTTTGAGACTTTGAAGGATCTCTGCACTTTGGGGTTGTTGCGAAGGGATGTTTAGAAAACCGAAAGAGGGGCGGGGGTCTCTCTCTACCCCTCTCCCTGCCCCTCCCCCGACTCGCGGGCGCACCTGCGCGCGCGCGCGCGCGCGCTCTCCCTCTCTGTCTCTCAAAATAAATAAACATTTTAAAAAAGAGAAAAGAAAACGAAAGGAACCCCTTGTATGGTCATGAAACTCTTCATATGATTATAAAAGTTTTTTCATAGAACTATGATAATCGCATGTGTCTTTTTATTTTCACTCAGCCTTTCTACTTCAGGCTCTGTGGATCGCTTCCGGCTGAGCTGCTGACGGCTCCACCGGTGAGGCTGGCAGATGGCGTTTCTAGAGCGCGCTGAGACGGCCGGGGGAAAACTCGGGTGCCAGCCCGCTCTTACAGGTCTCCAGGGCTTCCCCTTGTCCCTGGAGGGACTGCGCTCACGGGTCCACACCCTCAGGGCCGCCGTCCCGCCGGGCACCAGGTTCCCAGGGGCCCTGACTGCCGCGCACGGCCTGCGCCCGAGCGCCCTGCACCCTGCGCCCCAGCTCCCTGCACCCTGCGCCCGAGGGCGCTGCACCCTGCGCCCGAGCTCCCTGCACCCTGCGCCCGAGGGCGCTGCCCCCTGCGCCCGAGCGCGCTGCCCCCTGCGCCCGAGGGCGCTGCACCCTGCGCCCGAGCTCCCTGCACCCTGCGCCCGAGCGCGCTGCCCCCTGCGCCCGAGCGCCCTGCACCCTGCGCCCGAGCTCCCTGCACCCTGCGCCCGAGCGCGCTGCACCCTGCGCCGGGGACGCGCCTCCCGTCCCTCCGCTGACCGCCCTGCGCTCGCTTACGCGCTGCCCGGGTTGACGTCCTAAGAACCCTGTCTCCTGGCCCGGTGTATAAATGACGTGCATCCCACACTGTAACGGCGTGTGTGCACGTCCCCTCTCCTTGTAGACGCGAGCACCTGGCAGGTGGAGGTGTCTGTGGCCTTACGAATTAAAGTGGGGGACACAGCGGCAAATCAACATACGAACGAAGGCGGGATATTCAACTGTTCCATTATCAAGCCCCTACTATGTGTTGGGCGCTGCTCCGCGTATTAGGGACACGATAAGAACCAAAATTATTTTCTTCTCTCGCGGAACTTACATTTTAGCAGGGAACACAGATTTGAAACCTATGAATATGCCCTCGGGGAGCGGTCAAGCCGAGCGGAGCGCAGTGCGGGCTCGTGCTGGGAGGGCGATTTGAGGCGCCAGGCAGGGGCCGGAGCCGGTCTCGGGACGCGGGACGGAGAAGCGGGCGGAGCAGGGGGGGACGGAGGAGGGGGCGGAGCGGGGGACGGGGAAGGGGGGGGGGGGGCGGGGCGGAGCGGGGGTGACAGTGGGGGGGGGCGGGGGCGGGGGTGTGGTGGCG